CTCATGTTTTATGACTTTATAGAAGATTGATGCCTCAGCAGTGAGATGGAGAGATATTGCAGCTTATACAGCAAAACACTGATAGAAGCTACCTGAAAGCAGATTATCCCAACATGATTAATTTCATTCAATTTTGCACTCTTATTGGTGTTCATTTCAGAAGGGCTCATCTTCTAAACTTTTTCCCAAAATCTGGAGTGCCTGTTATTGGCTAACTAAATGTAGACATAATTCTGTAAATTTTATATTTGTTTTCCCCCAGAAGAAAGGTATTTTGTTCGCACCTTTCTGGCATGGATTATATACAAATGGAGAATAAAATACTTAACAAAATGTGATAACGAAAAATAAGAAGAGAAATGAAGATGATGCAGACATTATAACTCCCTGAAGTCAGTAATGTTTCATCTTCTTGGATTCTCTTTTTTAGGTATAAATACATTACAGCAGCAATTTGAATCACCAAGTTTTGGATTTCTCATTGTCATTTTTTAAAATGACAACATAGTCCCAAAGGAGATAGTGATGATGTTAGATACTTGGGCTGTGAATTCCAAAGTGTGGTGACTATATTTTCTAAGACAATTTGGTGGCAAAAGAGGTGCTTGTTGCCTATGGTGTGTTTAAAGAACAACTTTCCTACAGCTTGTTAGCATCTCAATTTCTTTTTTTTTTATTTTAGGGAAGGGTCTACAGGGTGTTCAGGGTCTCACTACTAGATCAGACTCAAGATGATCTGCCTGTTTATAGCCTCCCAAGAGCTGAGCTTACAGGTGTACACCACCACACCCAGTCTCAATTGCCATCTCAGGCACACGCACTGCACACTGGGTGTCCTAGAGATGAATGCTCATTTCCCAGTGTCATTAGGCTGGATCCTCTTGAGGGTGGACTCTCCAGTGTCCTAATAGGATTGTACAACTCTAGGAAATTGAAATTTCGGATGAAGATGGGAGGTGACTCTGTAATTCTACTTTTCAGCTTCTGTATCACACACCAAGCCTAGCCCCATCTTTATTTAAAATATTGTTTTCTTATTCATCATGGACTTTCGAAGACTAGCATTTGTATTTGTTGCAAATGTTCAACTCATGTATTGTTCATCTTAGTACTGAGATGTTTGGTAGTGTCTTAAATTTTGCTCTGGAGGCAACTGTCTCACTCACCGTATTGTGGTGGGAATGCCACTTATGCTACAGTTCATTCTTAGGCAGTATAATAAGATATTCATGACAAAACAGACTTTTTCAACAATATGACATTCAAATACTGAAACCTAGCTTAATGAAGACAATTTGAAGGACCTAAGAATATTTAGTAAAAAGGAAATCTAAGAGGGTTAGGTATGGAAGAATTTTCTACTGTGTACACTATCAAAACCAACACAGGACAGTTGGAGAGAAAATATTTACTGTCAAGATGAGAGCATTCCAGCAAGGAAAATAGGTCAAAGCTTTGCGTGAAGGTTTCCGAGCCTATTGAGAGTAATTATGCTTAGTGTCCTTAAGCAACCAGATAAAACTAAGATCTCTTTATAAAATCATGCTAAAGTAATCTTCAATGGTATGAAGAGGTAATATACTTTCCGTTAATGGTAGGAAAAGATCAATCAAAATGAAGTAGCCTGGTTGGCTAACAATG